CAGAGTACAAAAACCACAGCAAGTGCTGTAATAGAAACACAGATGGAACTGCTAAAACTTGTAACTGCTAGTTACGTAAATTATTAGCTATTAAAATAAAAACAGTACCGTGATGTGCATTGCACAGAGTAATAAAAATAATAGAAATAGCATTTGCAAAGGAGCAGAAGTGTTAAAATGGGTTACAAGGACCGGAGAGCAATCCAGGGAATCACAGCATCTGCTAAGGCTAATTGTGAACTCTTATGAGACTTTACATTGACAAACTGATGAAAGACTTCTAAATCCTCAAAATGTGTTACACACTCCCTCACAGGCTGCATGTGGGATGTTTACAACATTCAGGCCCCTGTGCTGTAGCAGTGCAGAGAGTGGCTCTGTGGGGGTACCTTTAAGAGCACAGTTATAGCTGCCCTGTGCGCCAGTGCTCGAAAGTTTCACTGTGAGGGGGAAAATAAAACCCCAGTCTGCCCCCCCACCCCTGCCTTTGCACACTTGGCAGGTGGCCTTCTCTGCCGCCCCCCCTCCCCCATAACTGTTATGGGGGCAAAACCCCTGCACAAGGGCTGGCAGCATCTCCCTTCCCACTAGCCAAACCCCAGCTCCTATCCTCGCCCCTGCCAGATTCTTCCCTTCCAACCCCATTTCTGCTTCACCCTAAAGTCACTTGACACCCTCCCCCAGCCAGTTAATTTCTCCTCCCTGTTCCCACCCTGCCCATCCCCCTACTATGATTTGCCCTGATGAACCTCTTTTTAATGCAGGCCAGGAACAGGGTGTGAAGCCAGGTGAGTGTAGCAGCCACAGCAGCTCTTGCTGAACATGCTCTGTTTCAGTGAGTATGCTCAGTACACTTTAAGCAGTAAATTCAGTCAGGGGGGTGCTGACTTTCCCTCACATTTGTAGAGTTTCAACAAAAATATTGGACACACTTGACATTACATCACAATCTACATTACATCTTGTTTAGAAAATACCAGACATTTTCTCAATTTGTTTCCCAAACAAAGCTCAAATCCTGGATTGCCTGATTCAAAACTGGACACCCGGCAACCCTACACATGAGAGGTCCTGGGGGTGCATTTACACTGCTCTTCCCCCCCCCCCCCCCCACCCCGCCTTTAATCAGGTCCTTAACCAGGAGTGCCAATACCCTGTACTTCATTCCATCCAAAGTTGATAGGGGCTTTAGCTTAATGCGCACCGAGCCTTGACTCGCACAAACTGGCTTACCCGGTCAAATACATTGATTACCACCACATTGGTTGTTCACTCAGCTACACAATAATAGGAAGGAGGCTGGCTAGCTCCATTGATACCTTGTTTTAGTTTAGCAGCTCAGTTTACTGATGCAGATATCCCACGTCACCTTGCAGTAACATGAGGGGTTAGCATCTGCCCCTTTGTCTACTACTTTTCCACTGGTTTAGCTGCTCAGAGCTTCAGACGGGGATTCAGTGCGGTCTCTTTCAACCTGCTACACACAGTTGCTATATGCAGTCTAGTGCAAGTGTGTTTGTTACTAAGCTCCACAGGGAACATTACATTAGCCTAATCAGCCACAGGGGAAGCCTGACTGCTGGCATAAACCTTTTTAGGCTTTGTTTGAATTCTTTTCTTGGGCCTTTGACTATAAGATGTTGCTGTAGAATCACATTTGAGGAAGGGTTTATGGGTTTAAGCACACATTGTGCTGCAGATAAGCTTGAGTTTAGCACACATTTGCTTGTGGGTAGCTGTGAATTAATGGCTATATTTACCTATGTGTGTGATTTGTTGATGAAGACCTCACCCTTTCCCGTTAATCAGAACTCCATTGGAAGAGTGTAGAAGGCGGCTCTTTGTGAATAGCTCCCCATGAAAAACACCACACTGCAAGGTCAATTTGAGATTGGATTAATTCTGTGTCATCCTTCCCGCCCCCCCCCCCCCCCCCCCCCCAACACACCCACTCCCCAAACCCTGCACACAACTCCCATAACTAATCTTACCAGTTCCAAGGGGTTAACGTTGGCTAGATGCTATGCACAGCAAAGGGGAGACAATCAGTGATCCTGAACAAGGCTGTCCCCCACCAAGCATCAGGCCCATTTGCAGAATAGTCTGTGGGAGAAAGCTCCACAAGGTTGGGTCACGATCTACATGACTCTCAACCTAGCCTCTGGCTCAGAAGAAAAATCAGGGCCAGTCATGGAGAGCACTTCCTCTCATACGGAGAAGGGTCAACGCTCCTGTGGTTCTCAAAGGGAGAATCTGGCCCCAGACACATTTTACTGTTATGACCTACTAAAGCCTTTCTGTAAATCCACCCAGCTCCCTAGTCCCTATGGTACCATAGCCTAGTTCTTCAACCTCTTGGAGCTGGCTGGTGTCACCATGATGAATGTTGATTAGCTGCTAGGTTACTACACCTGAGCATTTGCTCAGAACAGAAGTAACACATTTCTCTTGTTTATGTTGCAGGGTTTATGGATCATGCTCTGGCCTTGGTCTGATAGGAATAAAGGAAGAAAACAGGAGCAGCACTTGTTAGGCTGCCAAGTCTCAGAAAAGTCTCAATTTGTTTTTTTAAGTCTATATCCCCAAGAACAATAGGCTCTGCCCCTGTACTTTTAAACAGCTAAAAATAAAAGTAATTCAAAGCTGCTAGTGCAGCAAACCTTTCTTCTATTAACGCTTCTAGCTTTGGTGCTTTTGGGCTGGCTGGGCGCCAGCTCTGTGCTTAGGGAGCTGTGTACGTGCAGACACTGCCAAGGCAAAGCTTCACAGCAAGGATGGTCAATTTTTCTACAAGCTAAATGGCCCCAATCTTGAACTCTGTAAGGGGCTTGTATGGATACCTGGTTGTTTTCATTTAAACTTAGCGCATCCTTGACCGACACACTATGCAAAATTAATGTGCCTCTGTCTCCCCCATCCCCACATCTTGATTTTGTAGGGGATCTACAGCAGTGGTGTGGAACCTCTGGAAGTTAGGCCTCTTAATTAACATTTCGTGTAAAGTCTATTATAGATGGTGCATTATGCTTCTGTGTATGGATGAACTAGCTGTACACTTCAGAGAGAAGCACTTTCTGTGCCCTTGGGAAGATGGAATATGATTCATATCATGGGCCACTCGCTTTTACTCCAAGGAAAAATTACCACTCAAGCTGCAGCAGGAGCACAGAAAACATACTTGACAGGTGAAAGTCACAGACTTTCCAGAGCTCAAGGATTAGATTCCACAGGGCAGAAGACAGAAAACTAGGCTCCCACTTCTATATAAAATGGTAAAGAACAGAAAACTCCTTTAAGAAAGAGGCAGCATTGTAACCTTTTGAGTTGGGCTGTTTTGGAGATTGCTCTCATATGTGAAACCTGAAGATCTTGGCCTGTCTTTCGCAATACAAAGTTTCCCTCGCCTCTTTCCCCCCAGCAATAGATTATTCTTTATAGCCTCATAGGTTGCTTGTGTTTGTAAATCAGGACCCCTAAAAACTAAACAAGATCTCATTTGATTGAGACAGATGAGGGGAACCATTTTTTGTAGTAAGAGAAAGCATTTGAGTGTCTACAATCCATGCAAAGTGGCTTTAAAAAGCAAATTCCTCAAACATATCACAGGCCTGAGAAGCAGCATTCAGTTGTCATTTAATGTAACATTTCTGACATGAGAAGGATGAAGCAATGATTAAGCTCAGGCCAAAATACTCAGAAGAGACATTAGAACACCCACCATCACCCTCCTACTCACCATTTTGCTACAGGGACAAAGGAATTCAAGTTACTCATCACGTGAGTTACATTCTAACTTGATCCATCCAAGGAAGTTCCCAACCAAAACTTGAACGGTGCCATTGTTTGAGTTAAGAGGGAGAGGGGGAGAGAGCAAGATTCCCATGGACGATTAAGCAGCCCAGTCTTTTTCTATACTCCTGAATGCTTTTACTGGAGGAACTTGCCTCTGTGGGTCACCTCAAAGCATTAATACCATAAAACTACATGAAGATACCTGGACTGCCAGACAGAGGATTTGTTGAAGGAAGAAAAGAGCAGCAGCCTAAAGGGGGAGCAATACTGAATGTGACAAAGGTACCAAAGAACACATTTAATAACTACATAAGGATTGTACCATCCTCAGTCTCTGCAAAGTCTCATAACTTCAGTGGCAGATCTGCAGAAATTGAAGCCACTGAACTCCTGAAATACATCTCCACCCAAGGACCAAGATTGAACATGGAACGCATCCCTTCCCTCCAAATGAGTTGGAGCTCAAGGCTGCCAAAACTGCACATCTACCTGAACAGGCAGAAACGGGGCTGCAGCAACATACAAGTCAGATAACTGGTTCCCTGCCTGGGATCCCATCCCTCCAGCCCAGGCAAATTTTGACCCAGCTTCTCTGCTACACCATATTTTAATATAGGAAGGGGAGGAGGTGCTAAGGTGACAGTCTCTGAAGGACTGATTCGGCTCCTGCTGAGATCCATAGCAAGCTCTTGGGATGTAGAGGCCCCACCAATACATAGCTGTACCAAGCACATCACCTTGCTTTGGTGTAAGTCTACACTACAGCTAGAGCAGTGCTTCCTAACACAGGTAGACATATACACACTAGCGCTGCTCCAACTAGTGCATTAAAAATAGTATGGCCAAAGTGAAAAGAGCAGCAGCTTGGACTGACTGTACCCAACATGTTGGGTTAATTTGTACTTGATCATAGTCCAGCTGCTATCTGTATCATTGTGGCCATGCTGCTGTTATAGCCCACTAGCTCTGAGCTAATGCAGAGTCTTGTGTGCTGGAAAGTACCATTTCAGTGTCACTGTGGACATTGCAGTGGAGGAATTAAAGGCTAAGTAAAAAGCTTATTTCCCCATCAAGCAATTAGAGTAGTCACTTCATTGTAAGTGAAGACTCTTTAGTTAGTAAACATCTAGGAACCTGTTTGAGAGGTTATGGAGATCAGAGGACAAATAATGCCGGCAACAATCCTATTTATAAATCATTAAAAATAATTAAAGTTTCCCATTTTAATTGAAAATGTATGTAAAAAGGACTTCAGCTTTAAATAAGACATTTGTACAAAGCTTTAACACAAAACAGTGAACACCAAAGTGTGCATTATGTAAACATCAAAATGTTATTCATTTGTTCAGTAATGCACAGAACAATGCTGCAAATTCCCTTTCCAGTGGATTGAATTTCTGTAGCTATTCCCTCCACAAATCTTACTGGAATACAGGAAATCCAGAATCTTTGAAACATTTACAGAGCTACAGTAGTCAAAATACATTGTGACTAAAGGATATTTTCAAGGGATAATTTAAATATACAGAAATATTTTTTACAATCTCACAGGTAAATGAAATGTAGATCAGATTAGGAAAAAAGCACCAAAATATGTAATATTCATCTGGCACAAGGTCTACAAGAAGTCCGTACTGGACAAACTAAATACCTTGCTTTTTAGAGAACGGAAAAAACCCACTGTATTTAATGCTCTTGTTTAAAAAGGGATGCAGCCAGCTTGAAAACAGAAAACAAAATCACATCCAAGACTATTAACAACCAAACAGAACCTCTTAGTTTGTTTGCACTTCATAGAGCACATATACGGTTTCCACTCTGTGGGACTTTCACACAGTAACAACTGGTAAGAAAAAGTGTAACCGTAAAACCACAAATAGTGGCAAGGGGACTCAAAGCAGCAGGCGTAGTACCTGGAACTAATGTTTTTAAAAGTTTCAAATTGGATCTTTCCTTTAAAAAAATAAAAAGGAATGTACCAAACAATTCCAATTCCACTGAATTTGCAGAACATGTCTGTACTGTTATGTACATAAGAGAAAGCATGGCACTGTGGGCACACTCCATGTTGGTACTTTCCAACAGTGAGAAGTCTTGTTGAATGGGACATTGGGCATCTTTTAGGTAAACCTCAAAGGCAAAACATGAATCCTTTGACTATCCCCAGCTATGTGACTATGGTGGAGTGTTCTGCTCTGACAAGGTATGTGTGTGTGTCTCTCTCTCTCTCTCTCTCTCTCTCTCTCTCTGTCTCCTGGCCCACAGCTGGTTTTAAGCAGTAATGCTTCTTAAGGGAGTCAAGTGCACTGACTTGTCACAGATACTGGAGAACAAATATTAAGCCAATTGCTTTCACACATGATTGAGTGAAAGCCAAATGAAATTGTCTACAGATCTAGGTTAGCTTTAGTTATTTCTCTGGGCGTATATAAGCTGTATAAAAAGGATTCTTCCCATCAGGCAAATTAAGGCTAACTGGAGCTCAGATCCTTCCAAATGTTAAGTGTTATAAGAACAAACCTTGTTCTCCACAAACTATTTTACTCTTTAACAGTTGACTTCCAGACAATGCACCTTCCTTGATATTGCCCTCACAGTCCCCTCATATGCTCAGTGATTCACTGATGCAATAACCCCTTCTACTAGCCATCAGGATCTCAAATATCCAGCCTTAGGACTCAATCCTGCAAACTCCAGCTAGGGATGCTCAGTTGATTACGTGCAATTTATTTAGTGGATGGAATTTCCATTGACTACTTGAGTCGATAAAGGGGGAAACTGCAGGGGGGAGTTAACCCCACTGTGGCTCTGCCTTTTAAATGTAGTAAGAGCCACCAGGCTCTTAATACATTTAAAAAGCAGAGGCCAGTGTCTGGGACCGGGTGCAAGCCGGGAATCAGCCAATTCCCAGCTCATGCCTAGTCCCCTGCTACACTCTTAGCCTCCCCAGACGGCTCCCCACAGCACTGGCTCCTGCTTTCCCCTCCCCCCTGGCTGCCTCTCTCTGATAGAGGGAGCAGGAGTGGGCGGGGGGGGGGAGAAAGCAACTCGTAATAAGCATGTGCTTAATGACTAGTCACTTAGATCCCTAGCTCAAGCAACTTTTCCACGAACCAAAGAGGCTCAGCAACAAGCAGGATTCAGTCCTTAATCTATTCTTGCCTCCCCTTTTCCTTCCATTCATCATCTGATATTTTAACTATCATTTCAAGAACAACATGCTTTTCGGATCACTATGTTTAAAGATATTCTAGAAATTATAGCTTAAAATGTTAGTTGCTATCCAATAAAGTCCATGAATGCTGAAACTGTACGCTCATAAGTGTGACAGCAGCCAGCCTTCAGCTCTGCTGAAATTTCATGCAGATCTGTCATTCCTTTCATGCATGACTTGTCCTGTTTATTAAACCAAGGACAGCAAAACAAGTTACATTGCTGGTTCTACATAAATGACAATATTCATGTAAACACGTATTCCATAGCAGATAACCTTCAGCTTAGAAAAATATAAAGAAAAAGTTATAGCATGACCAAAGACGATGCTTTTCTGCCTGTGTATAAAGCTACCTACAAATATCCAGAGGGCACTTATCTGAAGAATGCAAGTATGCAAAGGTAGGAACTTAAACTCTACAACCTCCAAAACCCAGTTCGGTTTGATATAAACATAAGACAGAAAGGTAGATTACTATACTAGCAAGGGACTGCTTTAAATGCCATAAATCATTTAAGGCAAGTTGTTTGCAGAACTAGTCTGGCCAAGCCCCTGTTGCCTATTGCTTCACAATTTCCCCATTTTTTTATTTGTTCCTGTAGACAGTACAAGGAGGTAAATGAATTACATACTCACAAGGGGGAGAAAACCAACAACCACTCTTGATTTGGAAGAATGGTCTTACAGTTGCACTAGCTGCCATGTAGCATTTTCATCAGGTTTATGCAGACAGTCATTTTGCTGTACATTTTGAGTGGAAGGGAAGAAGTAGTGGCACATGAGGACAACACCCAAATGGATCAAAACAAAGCTAGAGTTAAGCTGGCATGCCACGGTCTCTCACAATGTAAGGGCTTCAGCTTTAGGCATAAAGTGACATACTAAACACAAGTGGAGGGCAGGAGAAAATGGATACAACTGTTGCAGCTGAATTGGTCCAAACAAAACTGATTTAAATGCTACAGTTACAGCGTAACATGGCATGAGTGCAGTAATACCCACTTCTCATGGTCCTGCAGTGGGTGGGTTAATACATCCTAAGTAACAAATTGAATAGACTCTGGTCACTCATAAGCAATGACTTTTCCATCTCCAAGTGAAGGCCTGTTTATTATTGATATACTCTAGCCCAAACAGAGAAAAAACCCACCACCACAAGAGTGGCTTTAACCACTGCATTAGACTATGCTGTATTTCTCTTAGATTGTAGAAGTGTTAACATCCTGAATGACCTCAACTTGTTCAGCAGTTTGACACAAATTTTGGTTTTTAGACATATGGGAATGGTCCATTATAAGATTCAATGAAGCTGCATGAACATTACTAGCAGCACTCTGAAGACTGAAGTGATCTTAAGGAGACAGATAACACCCAACATATCAATACAATGAAGTAGATTAGTTATCCAGATATAAAATCTTAGAAGGAAAGAATGGCGACTTAGTAAATCTAAGAATGGATCAATCACCATGTACCACATGGTAAAAGAATCACAGCCTTCTGTCTTACAGTCTGCTGCCTTTTATTAGAGTGAAATTTGAATCTCTGGATTTATACTGTCAATAGTTTGCAGAGAGAGAGAGAGATTGTTACATACATGAGTGTGTATGTGCCTGACTACAACAAAATTAGACACACCTAACTTTAATCTATCGAGAATTTAGAGTACATATTGTTCAGTATATTTGTATGCTTGGCCTTACACACTTATAGTGTCAGACTCATTTTTAAAATATGAAGGATTAATGCACACCTTTCCATGACACTCTACAAGAGTAGAGTCTGGTACCCAAATAATTAAGGTAGTCTGTGACACACTGTAGAACACAAGGCTGCAAAACCTGAAAATTAATGAGGCTGTGTCACGAATGAGAAGGATAGAATTTCAGCTGCTAAACATATCAGAGATGAAGTGATTTTAATCACCAGAACCTAGACATGGGGAGTCTTCTTGCTCAACACTATTGCATAAATGTAGCGGTTACTTCATATATTTTATATGCTCTATATATGAAATTAAATGGATATTCATATTGGGAATGTCAATACCAACGACTATCCTCTTGGCTTATAGCAGTTTCCCAGAACGTATGTGATAAACCAGAAACAGTAACTCAGCTTATTTTCCTGTAGTTTATGTATTAGAATTGCACAATATTAAAGCTGTAATTCTCCATGAAGAATAGCACCTGCAGCAAATAGATTCACAATTTCAGCATCTAGCCTCATTTAATGTATTCTCAAGTCACATTCATGACTACTACCCAAAGTGCATGATTCTGCAAAGGATCCTTTAGTTGCAAGACTAGTCCTATTTGACCTCAATAGCAACATTCACATGAAAAAGGAGTTTGCAGAATGGTGCTTCAATTAATTTGGTATACTAACATTTAAAGGTGTTTTGAGCCACCATAAAAGGTGTGTAAAACTATGACAAAATGACACGGAGCTTCGATAGACATTTTTTCTAGTAGATGACAAATTGTTGCAATGCAGAGCTACAGCTACTTACCACAAGATGTAGCAGTTTCACTACATCAAGTTTTTATTTTTGGGGGAGGAGGGAAAAAATCAGCAACAGAAAAATCCCTAATAATTTCAAGATCTTATCACCATCGTGCCCATTTATAATCCCTTGGTCTACACTTTAAAGAATTCATATACATTTATGAAAAATGTGAATATATTTGGCCTATTCCACAGAAGTTCACAGTTCAACCATTAAACAAGGACATTTTCAGAGGCTCCAGTATTAATAAAGCTTTCCCAGAAACATGTACAAAACTCTAATCCCATGACCAATATAGTGAGCATTAAAAAGCAAGTTATATTTGACATTTAGGATCATCAAAATGTCAAGCAAGTCAGTAAGTATGTCACTGTCAGTCACTCACACAGTTGTGAAAAGTTGCACAACTCAAGTAAAGAACAGATTGTTAGATTTTGTAGTCTGTGGTTTGTATCAATTTTAAAAACTGCAACCTTGGCTTTTTGTAATCCAAAAGTGAAGTTGAGTACAAATAAATGGCTTTTTTTCAAGATAGATTTGGCTAGCATTTTACAGTAAGCGTTTGGTATCCAATAGGCTGGAATGATTCCTGGTAGAGAAATAACTATAAAACGGGGCTTTTCTTTTGTTATAATAGCACAGCAGCCAAGCCACCTAGGTTTGCCTTTTTTTCAACTGCAAGTAAAACTTCCCCTTTCACATAACTACCATGACCATCCTGTCTTGGCAAACAATTGAATTACACCTAAGATACCAAATGGCTTGCTCTTGGTGTGTTGTAGAATTTTCTTCTCTACCCCAATCCATATTCTGATCAGACCTTAAAAACCACTCTTCAGTTTCTAGGCCATAATCTTTTGCAACTATTACAGTGTATTAAGTAATACCATAAGTAGTGACCGTCACAATTTAGTACTCATGAGCATGTAGTAAGTATACACTGAGCAGACAATTTTCAAACTTCGGGCATTTTAAAGTTCTTTTTAGAAGAAAGAGAAGTTATTTAACAAAAAAAGATACTAGGTCATTAACAGAATGCATGTGTAGCCTTAAAGTTAAAAAGAGCTTCTCCATTATGTTCAGGCCAGGATTACACTTAAGGTTTTGCTGGCATAGAAATGTTCATTTGAGGTGCGATTTCTCCCATTACCACCCCCAATGCCATAGCTGTGTCACCAAATGGCATAATAGAGGCACCATTTTACTGTAAAAAAAAGTGCTCTCGCTTAATTTGCTTACCAAACCAGAATGCCTATACCAGCAAAAGTCCTGTTTACTGGTGTAAAGGTCTATACTAAGGAGGGTTTTGCCAGTATACAAATTAATATATATAAAGCTTCAGGGTATATTGAATTACCATGAACCAAGTTCTAAACTCTCCTGCAAGTTGACAACCTCTGGTTTTTTACATATCTCTTACACATTTACACGTCACTTGCTAAAGAAATAAAATGCTGGCCTCTCATCATGGCGAGATGATGTAATTTGAACATATCTTCTTAAACAGATGTGTACTTCAGTTTAATTACACCAGCACTGTTAACGATACAGGATCTCAAAACTGAGATCTTGCCACTTGATTTGCTAACATGCAGTGCCCATTGGGAGAGTCCATGGGGGGCTTGGCCTGGGCGGTGGGATGCATGCTAGCAATTTGCTTTAAAGAACCCTACAGTACATGAGCCATTGGACAATAGGTATTATTTGCTCACCAGTTTTTTAAATTTAAGCCATTTTATGATCCTGAATTACAACTCTGAAAATAAAGTTGTATAATAAAAATATATCAAATATATGGAGTCAATGCTTGGCTTAATAGAACGCCTCAGCAATTATCCCTTTTACCAAGAAGTATAAAAAGCTGATATACTAAAATTAAAAAAGGTAGCATCAATAACCAAAAAATTTTCAACCAGTGTTAATAAAACTCCCTTTTTAGGTCACAACAGGCAAATAATCCCAGTACAGATAATTTAAAACAATAAATTGAGTCCTATTTAAACATTATTAAATCAGGCTAAAAATGAATTGTCTACACTGTTGTTATTAAGTACACATTAAAGAACTCACTTTTTCATTGGGTGTTAATGTTGTTGTTCCCCAGAAATTTTAGAGGGGTGTGACTATGTTTTAGCTATTAAGCATAGGTTAAAAAAATTGGTTTGTCAACATTAATGCAAGAGATCTTCCCAACACAAGTATACTGAACGTGCCAGACAAGTAAACTGGTAATACTTTAGATGCAAATCACGTGTAAATTAAAGCAGATTTACATACCACAGTTTTCCTCAAAGCATTGTTTTTGTTCTGTTTCTTTTAAGGTTTACCAGCTATAAGGAGGAGAACCTTTGGCTCCAAAGTATTGTCACAACTATAAAAATATTAATGACTTTCGAAGAAAGGAAAATTCATCAAGCAAGTTTGCTTCCAGTAAAACCGAGGTAGCACTGCTTTGTTTGCCTGCGATGCTTAAGTTATTTAGCTACAAAGTGTTAACTACCACTTAGTTGACTGACAGGTACTGTATGTTCTCATAAATAAAATCCAACAGTTAGTTCAACACAAAAAAAAAAAAATGACTTGAACTCTTCTGAGAATTAACTTAAAATGGGATTTAGCCATATTACAAAAAGCAGTCACACAAATGGTTTTTAGAGCCTTATTATCTGGGAATTAATGCATTTGTAGTTAGCAGTTAATGCTGCTATTTATCTTGGTATAAAACCATAAAATATAGCCTAAAATTTCAACAATGTAAACAGCACTACACACAGTACAGACCTGCCCTGATAGATGTAGTATACAAAACTTGAATCTGGCACTGTATAATTTAGCAATGTTAATTTAAACGTAACAAAAAGATCTACATTGTGCAATAATTGTCAGATTTATACTAATCTGAAATGTTCAAAAAACAACAACTCTTTTTACTTCTAGTCAGAGTCAAATATACCAGGGCAAGAGTTAAAGGTATAACCAAAATTAAGAAAGTGCCTAAACCATGATACAGCATTTTAGAGCCCTTTCAAATACAAGGCAGAGAAAGGTGTAAAGTAGAAAAATCTGGAACCTCAGTAATTTCCAGAAAGGTCCAGAGTTTACATTTAAATGAAGGGCAACAGGTTATTTCTGTTACTGCTGCTTAAATGCTGCTAAGTCTGTTCTTCTATACACAGACCCTCTGTATCTGAGCATGTAACACATTTGGTTTCCTCTTCTTTTTTCCTTCGTTCCATTTCCCATTCTACAAAGGTATCAAAGAGACTAGGCCAGGCCTCATCTTCACTGTAGTTGCTAAGGTCTGGTCCAATCACCTGAGTAAAATTTAGAAACATGTTCCATGTGTCCCGGGAGATTCCCTTGATTCCTGAGGGGTTCTCAGTTAGGAAGTTTAACCACTGGTCCAATATGGGGGGTTTATTTTGGGTAAAGACCAACTTCCAAAGGGCAATGGCTATTTCCCGATGCAGAGACCTCTGTCCTTCTTCAGAGTCCAGGCCAAACTGAAAGGTGAAACGATAGAGATCCTTGAATTTATCTTCTTGTTTGGCTTCATTCAAGAGACTGGGGAACCTAGAACAAATGCCACCAATGCTGTCCGCATTTATTGCTTTACAGCCCTCAAAGAACTCCTTCCTATTAGCAAAAGAAAAATCATTGGTTAGTGCCTTCACACACAGACTCTATAAAACTCTGCTTCAATACAGTTTAGAGCACAAAATGTACCTCCTTTGATAAGACTAGTAAGCTAAGTACTTCCAAATTCAGCACACACTCACCTTTCTTCTGAAGTATTGATGCCATCAGCAGTGAGAACTGCTAAGCAGCCTGTTCAGGATGAAATTTGAATTTAAAAAGTTTGTAATTACTTTTAAATCCAAGTTTGCAGCAATGTTCAATTATACCCTGGGGTGGCATTAACATTCAAAAGGAATAATTCTGCGTGGCCTTCACTACTGCCAAAATGGGCAATGTTTCCCACTCCTCTTATCTTTCAGCACTGGCCAGATGCCAGATTGCCTGTACTGAGCCTGCCAACATCAATGCAAGCTACCCTGGGTGCCTGCCCTAAATAGTGCTTTAGACACACCACTCCCAAGGGGCAACTTCAAATGCAGCGAGTGATCCTTCAGTCCCTCTGCCGAGACTGCAAAACCTGGGCGCTGGTTGGGATGGTCAGTGATCGGGGCACCTGCTCATCAGGCACGCTCACAAACAGTCTTGAGTTCCTACAAGATAAAGCCATTTTTAACCCGATAATTTCCAAATAGGTGGCTCTGTTTCACTACTAGCTCCATGACCCATGCAGTCTCCATAGCGAGAGTTCATATAATGATGAGCAGATCATGGACTTTTCCTTGGGGGCAAAGGGAAGATAGCAATGAAATCTTAGATTTCTTTAGAGAAAAAACAAGAAGTTGTACTTTGAGAAACAATCCACCTACTACAAGCTAGACTGCCTGAAACCTACTGCTATATATAGTAGCTATTCTACTGAAGAAAGAGGGTCTCTCTGGGAGTCAGCAACAGGAAAAGAATTATATTGGTGCTGAAAGGAGCCAGCCTTCTAGCTGAGCACTACCAACTCCTTTACTACCCAGCTGTCTTGGTTAGTAGTCATGTGCGAACAACACACAAACAGCAAAGTTATTAGGTGTTGGAACTTCCAGGACAAACTGCAATAACCCTGGAGACTCCAACCTTGTTGGTAGTGTAGTATTGAATTGGTAAGGAGGCTACCCATTAGTGTGGGATGCAAACGGTAGCTTTAATCAGATACTGGTCATCATTTCAAAGCCTTTAAGTAAAACTACGTATCTACATATTCAGAATATTCAGGAAGAGAGGACCTGTCTTCTCTGACAAAGGGAAGATAGCAATGAAATCTTGGGATTTCTCTAGAGAAAAAAACAAGAAGTTGTACTTTGAGAAACAATCCACCCACCGCAAGCTAGACTGCCTGAAACCTACTGCTTCTTCCGGTCTTCTCTGACTAGGCATTGAAGAACCTCAGGATTTTGGCTGTTTTTTGTTAAGTATATTCCTGGGGAAATTCTGCACCTCATTCACGGATTTCTTTGCTTCAGATTTGGGGTTGAATGTGCAGAAGCGCCGCAAGAATGGTCACATGTCCCTCCCCAGCAGTGCTGGTGTGTGGCTTTGGGCACTCAGATCAGCGGGTGCAGAAGTAAGTCACAGGGCGAGGGAAGCTGAGGATACCCCAGCCTGTGCTGAGTCAGATCCTGCCCCTCTTCCAACCAAACTCCATGCATCTACACCCCTCAAACCCAGGCTCCCCAACCATGAGCCTCATCCTCAAAATCCTCCCTATACCTACCAAGCACCCCCCCCTTCCAAAAACCCCCCCCCCGAACTTCCCCAACTCCACCTGGGGCTGAAGACGTGTGGCTCCTACTCTGCACCAGGCTCAACTGCTATTCCCAGGGTGAGAGGGTGGGAGTGTACATGGAGATTTCGGCGTATCCAGTAATGTTCCTGAACCACTACTGCTTAAACTTTAGCAACCAAACTAACAGGCCCAAATTAGACCTAGACATGACCCAAGTCAGGAAAAAAAATAAAATAAAGAGTTTGGGTGCCACAGAGAGGGCAGCTTGACCCCGTGTCCTTCCTGAGGCCCAAATCTCTAGTGAAATCGCTGAGCTATACATTTAGAAAAACAGGAAGTTTGTCTAAATGCCCTAAGACATATATCTGTCAGGGTCCCCCTCCCCCACCGAGCATGGAGTCTCTGAAAAAGAAAAAACACATCAGAAGAAAATCTCTTGCCTAACCTTTAAAAAGTGCTTGCCTATCAAGTTTGAGAGTGATATGTTATTGTAATACTAATGGATAAATAGGGAAGGGAAGTTGGAGTTAGGGGAACGAGTTAGGGGGACAACTTTGGGGAACACTTGGAGGGACGCCTCGAGGACTCTTCACATCTGGACGCATCTTTGTCCCTACCGGCAGATGAAAGACTGGCCATCAGAAGCCTGCCTTGTGTCACTCGAGAGCCACACTCAACTTCGGTAATTATCGAGGGAGCGGGTGTTTTACTAACCTGTTGCAGACGTGTGTAAGTGCTTGAGACTAAGTAAAGTTTAGCTTTAAGTGAAAGCACTCATGTTGTCCTGTTTGTACCATCCATCTATCAGTCAGATGACTGTGTCTCCCCTGAATTTTTTCCTGACACCACCTCACAGAGAGTAAAAGTTACCGAGAGGTTTAGGTTGAAAGATCCCTGGGTAACAGGAGGAGCACACTTCTGTGCAGAGCAGCCAAGGCCCAACGCCAGGACAGACCCATCTCCAGAAATCTTCCCTGGCTCCGCACCCTACTTCTATTGCTCCTCCACCATGGAGGGAGGCATCACCATGGGGGAGCTACTCCCTCATCAGCCTAACCCTGTACATCTGGACTCTCCCACACCCAGAACTCCACCTTGACTCAAGCCCCAAATGCTACTTCCCCACCACTGAACCTCTTCCTCCCACATCTACACCCCCTGCACTGAGACCACCATCTGCTGGGCCCCCCGCACTCAAACTCACTCAACAAGCCCTATCCCATATGCACCTGGGCCAATTTGCTGAGCCCTTCCCCCCTGGATGACACCCCCTGACACCAAGTCCCCATTTTCCCAGCACCCAGATCCCCTGCTAAGCTCCAAACACCTTCACCTAGACTCCCTTGCAGTCTCACTGCCCCTGCACCCAGGACCATGCCAATGAGACACTGTGCATCCAGATCCCCCCAGCATACACGACCTCCCCCCATGGAGCCACTCCACCCCAATACCCAACTCAGAACCATCTCATACCATCTGGGTCACTCCACACCAAGCCCCTCCACACTTGGGTACAGCTGAGCAGAGCCTGCCTGCCCATCTATGGTGCACTTGACACAGAGGAGCAGGGCCCCAGGGTGTCTCTGGAGCAGGTCTGGCTCTTGCACAGAGTCAGATTTTGGTGCAACCTCACTGCTAAGGCTGTGTGCAGGCACGGGATGGGGGGAGTGTTAGTAGTTTGCAGCGTGATCTCCCAGCTCTGTGCAAGTAGCCACCACATTTTATTCTGAGAATTTTACTGGACAATTTTAAAATACTGGGCACAGAATTCTTTCGGCACAGAATTCCCTCGGAAGTATGAGTAGGAATTTGCCCCAGGGTCTCTAAAGGAACTTACCCTTCTCCCAAATACCATGAAATGTGCTAAAAGGCAGCTGGTTGCCACCATGAAATACACTACACAAAAATGTGAAAACAAGGAAAAATGTTTCAGCCTCTACTCTCCTAGAATGCAAAAATGCCACGTATAACACTGGCAGTCTAGGAACCTCGCACAGGAGATGAATTTCCTTAGCATGCTGTTTTATCGGAACAGTAACAGCAAATAATTGTAGTGGATTGCACAGATGTTAGTAGCTAACTTTATATTACATTTCTCTTATTTGAATTATAGCAGAAATCAGCTTCAGCAGTGTCTAACATTACTATCAAGGTCGTACTGGAGAGGATAAAATTGATTGTAATATTTCAGCATCATACTGCACTTTTCTAATGCACTTTCACCATAGGCAGTATAAATTTCTGACATGTGCCTTCAAGCACAGAAGACATGTGTTGCAGAAAATGAATGATATTTCCTTTATAAGTATTTTTTTGTTGATTAAGTTCAAATTATATGAAAAAAAAGTGGGCATGCAAATTTAACAGGGCTTCTCACCAGAGTATAGAAGATAGGATACATATGAACATATAAAATATTTACAAGTGCCATATGAACTAACCTTGTAAATTTGCACATGGTAGCTGCCTGGAATTTCCAAGCCAAGACTAGCACTTTAAATTCAGTGGGGTCAACACAGAGGTCATTGCAAAAACGTTCCATGCCTTCTTCCAGTATGGCATCTTCTCGTTCGTCCTTGTATCTCCTAAACAATTCCTCAATTCTCTGAATGGAAGATTCCTCTGTGCCAGAAACTGGCTCTTTCTTTGCATCCCCAGAGAAAGTTGGAGGTTGATTAGGGTCTAAAGCAGTATCGGTTTTCTTTGTCCCATTGACAAGTATGTCCCCAGAGGATTTTGCACACACTGACGTATGTTCTTCTTTGTGAACTACACTTCTTTTGCTATGAGACTTGCTGCTAGATTCTCTATCTCCATTTTTGCTGCCAAGGGTGGAAGAAGGATTTTTGCACTTGGTGACACACTGGCCCATGTTGTTGCAAACCCAGCTTTCAGAGCAGTCCCCTTCCAATCCGACACCCTCTCAGCCACTGTTCAATTAACTTCAACATGCCATCAGTGGGAGTCGACTAACCTGGAAATAAGTTTTAGAATGAAAATCACTGTTTTCCCACAGAGACCATATTAAGTAGTTAAGTAACACAAACAGAAGAAGAATAAAACAGGAGACTAACTCCAGGAGGTTACGCTTTGCTTACTGAAGAGGAATCATGTACAGAAAGCTAGGGTATGCCACAAATACAGGCAATTTCAACTAAGGTCCATCGCTTTACCTAGAAAGCAATGCAGCTCACTTAACAGCTGCAGTACACTAACGGGTCCTAATAAAGGAAATTCCTAAAATTCTTACTGTAACATAGGTTACAAAGAGGTTGATTCATGTGCAGAATTCATCAAGACAGACTTCTCCAACCCAGAAATATTTTAGAGGAAATAGTTTAAAAACCATGACACACTTTATATACAATATAGAATACAAGACTGTGAAACAAAGCAACATAAGCCAAGGACACGCTGTTCTGTCTGAAACAGCAGCAATAACTTTGGCTTTTTGTTGGCTTTGGTCAGTTTCGGACCAACATTCAAGATCTAGTTTATTTGTTTTCAAGTATGTATGAGGCATGTTTACAGAGGGGGAAAGGGGTATTTAGAAAAAAAAAAAAAAAAAAAAAAAAAGGACGACATCCTTCTTTCATGGTGGTTTATAATAAGAATTTAATAGAGGGATTATTCATAGATTCAAATACAGGTTGGACCTCCCAGGTCTGGCACCCTCAGGACCTGACCGAGGGGATTTACCAGACCAAGGGAGGTCTCTCCCCCCATGCTAAACTGCTATTCACCCCCCATCTCACTAGGGCTCCAGCCCACCTCGCTACTACCTGGTCACCCCCTGGGCCGGAGCTCTCTAGCCACGTGGCCAGGGCCGGAGCTGTGCTGTTGGAGCCAGAGCTCCCTAGCTGCTGCTAGAGCTTCTTGGCTGCCACCAGGGCCACAGCTGCATGGTGGAAATCTAGCCCCCTGCTACTGCCCAGCTGTTGGGGCCAGATTTCCCCAACTGCACCACCTGTTTCCTTCCTCCCCCCAGCCCCCACAAGGCTCCCACCTGAGTTGCTGAACCCTGCTGCTGCATTCCAGTCCTGCAGCCAGACCTCCCTATACCCGGACTCTGTGGTCCAGGAACATCTGTGGTCCTGCCAGGCCATGGATGTTGCAGACCAGAGAGGCCGGGTTAAGGGAGGTACAACATGTATCTTTACCCAACCCCCCTGACAGGGAAGAAGTGAGGATGGCTAGAAGTGGAGGAGGGGCAATTTTCCAGTGAAAGTTTCACATATACACTAAGGAGTTAATACTCCCATTCTCACTTTATAAATTTAAACCAAATACCATAATTTCTTTTGTAGCCATTTCAGTCTAATCAAATTATTGAAGTTACACTATGCAAAAAAAGTTATATCTTTCCCATGCGCAAGAAGATTCAGATTAAAACTAAAAGAAATGACTCGCCAAATACCAAGTCAAGGGTCAGTTTTAGGGCTCTGAACTTTTAAGAAATGATCTATGGACAGAATTACATATCTCCTCCAGTTCACAACTACCGGCTTTTATCTTGCCTCTGTAAATTAAGCAACAGCCACCAATGAGAAACTGGATTTTTAGTGCCTTTTCATTACAGCTTCCCTACAACCTGGAATCAGTGAGATGAGAAAAGGAAGAGTAACCAACTGAGTGAAAATCCAAACAAGGCAAATAAAGAAAGATGTTATTCCTTCCTGCCCCTTGACTGTTTAACTTGTAAGTGCCTTGCAATTACAGCACCAAGTCCTGAAGCAACTGCTAGGTACCGCTACCAGAAGAGAAACCAAGGGCAAAATGACTGCTCCAGAAACTAAGGGTATGTTTACACTGCAATCAGAGGTGTGACTGCAGCACATTAGCTATTCAAGCTTGCTTTAGCCTCCCTAGTACTGGTACCAATAGCACTGACGCATAAGCTTCAGTTCTTATACTTGCCCAGATGTGTATTCAGCTATCAGGAGGCTTGCACAGTCTGTTCAGAAATCTGTGCTTCACTGTTCTTGATTGGCACTAGCACTAAGTAGATTAAAGCTAGCTGGGGTGTGTCTATATGTTCTGCAACCACGTACATTAAAACTCCGATGGCGGGGAACAGTGATCTGTGGCCAACAGGAGCTGCAATTGCTCATACCTACAGAGGTATAGGTAAATATAGTAGTGCCAGCCCACCAGAAGCTAACCCCAGGTAAACTGCTACCATTTTATTGTCCACCCGTTTTATACAGAGCTAGCTCAAATTGTTTTCCCTCTTTATCCGTGAAAGAGAGAGATGCACAGTTGTTGTTCCCCCTGCAACAATTATTTATGCTGGGTTTATTTGTAAACAAAAATGATTTTATTAAGTTTTGCAAGTAGGATTTAAGTGGTTGCAAGTGAGAGCAGACAGATCAAAGTTAATTACTAAGAAACATTTTACATGCAATTTCTTACTCTGACAGTACAGGCAGTCCCCGGGTTATGTACAAGATAGGGACTGTAAGTTTGTTCTTAAGTTGAATCTGTATGTAAGTCGGAACTGGCATCCAGATCCAGCCGCTGCTGAAACTGACCAGCAGTGGCTGAATCAGGGACACCTGGGGCAGAGCTGGACTATCGGAAGGGAGGGCTATGACGGGTCTGGGGTGGCATCCCCCCTCACCCCAGACTCCTCATAACCTCCCCTTCCGATAGTCCGGCAAATCTTATAATCCGGCACCCCCTGGGTCCTAAAGGTGCTGGATTATCGGAAGTTTACTGTATACCCTGTGCCCCCAATGCAGTGGAGATATACCCTTACGTCCTCTTCCTCTAGAAGAGTCTTTTATAAAGAATGAATTCAAAACACTCCAGAAAACTAATTCAACAGAGGAAGCCATTGTGTGTCCTCCAGTAAACAGCAGCAATTTAAACCAATGTATTTTCTCTCCTCACAGATACAATAAATCATATACATTAATCTTGTTTTGATGATGGTGGGAGAGGCTGCTAGTTTCACAATTCACACAATATACAGTAACTAAGCTATGATGACTCCCCCCCCCCCACAAAAAAAAAACCCCACAAAACCCACACCACCCAAACAATTTTTTCTTCATTATCCCATTCAGTTTGCTAGATTATCTATGAAGTCTCTCCCATCTCTACGGATGTGACAAGGAGAAGGCAGCCTGTGGTTTCCAACATTCCAAATCCTTACATCTTTTAGGTTCATTGTTTGACAGACCATTTGTTTGGGAGGCAAGTATCCATCTAACATTAGTCAAGACCAGATTTTATTTAACGGCACTTTCTATAATAGTACTTATTTTTAAGGGTTCATTTGTTTTTAATTTTCCCAGTTACTACAAAGTGCTGCTTATTTAAGCCACAAGCTACTGGACATTACTGTTCTAGCCCTTTGATAATTAAATATACACTGTCTGGTTCCATTGTTTCCATTTGCCTGCAGGTCCACTTTGCCACTACCATAGCAATTTGCATCACAGCCACTTCACTCTCCTGAAAGTCAATCAACTGTGACTTGAACATTACTCTATTGAATGCACTGAGTATTAAATACAAAATGATTAGATAATAATTCCAGGATACCAACTCCCTCTGGGATTTACTTACTTTGATCTGAGCCTGACTCCCAGTTTACTTGTGAATGGATAGCCAATAGCTCCATCATCTTGAAGAAGTAATATGCAGTACTTAGGTAACTGAATAATGTACGTACCACAGATTAAGTTTTGGTTTTTAAGTAAAGCATGCAAGAGAAACTGAGTAAAATGAAAATTGAGTTATAGCAATTTTTTTTTTTTTTAGAAAGGGAGGCTTTTAGCAGAGTATAAACTGTCACACAAGAGTATAGGACAACCATTAGCTGTTGGGGTAGGGATATAAAATTTTGATTATTCGGCTAATTGAATAGTTGATGCAATTTGCATCGACTATTCGATTAGTTGATAAGGGCGCTTCCACCTTTGAAATGTAGCAGCAACCTTAGGGCTGTTGCTACATCTCAAAGGTAAAAGCACTGTGGGAAGCATGGGACCAGTAGGGAACTCAAGTAGTCCCCCGCAGGCTCCACGCTCCCCACAGCGTTTCAAAGCGGCAGCATCGCATAGAGCCCAGGGACATCGACCCCTGCACTGCCACTTTGAAGCACACTCTCCTTTCCCTCACCTCCCCCTGCTGCCTTTTTCTGATAGAGGCAGCAAAGGGGTGGGGGAGCAACTACTCATTCACATCCCTAATTAGAGGGGAGAGAGTCAGAAATTTTTCCTCTAGACAGGATATCCCATAACTGCCTATTACTGCCGGATTTTAAGTTCCTGTTTCTGGCCCAAGCCAGAGAAGGATACTGTATGGACTACTATATGGGTCACTGATCTGATCCAATATGATACTTCTTTGTTCCTATATATCTAGAAACAAGAAAATTCACATTGCATGATTATGTAAATTACAATCACAGAGTACCTGTTTGATCCCTATGTTATTTTTATTCTCATGCTTCCTAAGTAATACAGTAATTGATCTTACTGCAGAGAAAGATTTCTGGTTTTTAAGTCTGGCCATGTCATTCTGTACAATATGCCAAAGTTTATTGTGTTACTATTTTTCTTAATGCCAGTGATTATATTACATAGCACAAAGGTCACAGTCAGGTCAAAGTTATCGACAGACAGAGGTGAGAAGATCTTATCTTCACAGTAGTTTCAGAAAATGCTATCAGAAGTTAGTTTTAGGTTAACTATATTGTGCAAATTAACCAAGTCTATTGTTTCAAACAAGCTTCTGCCCACGCACCTCTCCACTTCAGAAAGGATTTTCCTACGTTCCAACCCATCTGTCTTGAATTATGAAACTTGTTGTCTGTTTTACTAATAATAGCACAGCACCCACACCACCAGAGCCCAGACAGTGGCAGCTCTTTGTCCAAAACTGGAACATCTCCCTTCCCTCTAGTAGCTGTTCCAAAACGTAATCCCACCTACTACAAGCAGATATCAGAAGAGATTTAAAGTACCACTGTTGTAATTTATCATTTCTCTTGTTGTACAGCAAATTTGAGGTAATGTTCCAATTCTTTTTAAGTAATCTTGCTTTAAAATAGGGATAGGAATGATTAACAGCTCAACTGACAGAGTGGGAGCAGCTCCCCACCCGCTGCAGGCAGGGAGCTGCTCCAGCACTGCAGGTCCACTACAGGCAGGGGCTGCTCCGACCGGCTGGCTGGAGCATCCCTCTCCATGGCAGACCTGGCCTGGCTCAAGAGCTGCAGACAGAGGCTGTTCTGACTGGCTGGCCAGAATGACCCTCTGCCTCCCTTTTAATCAGCTAAACAATGTTTAACCGGTTAACCAATGAAATGGAATTTTACATCCCTACTCTAAAATAGCAAAACCTGCAAAAAAATTGCCCAGCTACCTCCAGAATCAGGTTTCTCTAGGTATCTTGTTCTACAACTTTTTGGTTCTTTTCGATGTTGCGTGAGTATGGTGAGAATGCTATTTTTACACTGCTGGATCCACTCCACTTGTTTGACAGTCCTGAGGTTTTCAAACCATGGTCCACAAGATCCATTCAAGTGGTCCGCAGATATTGCCTTCTAAGTTACACATGGAGTGGATCTCTTCCTTGAGTTGGTATAGCTAAATTAGTCCCCATCACTTTGTATGTGTAGTTGGGAATTTTTTCCCAATGTACATTACTTTGCATTTATCAACATTACATTTCATTTGCCATTTTGTTGCCCAAACACATAGGATTTTTTGAAGTTCTTCACAGTCGGCTTTGTTCATAACTATCTTGAGCAATTTAGGATCAAACTTTGCCACCTTGATGTTTACCCCTTTCTCCAGATCACTTATAAAAAGGTTAACTAGGATTGGTCTCAGTATGGACTCTTGGGAGACACCACTTGTTACCTCTCCCCAATCGGACCTTTTATTCCTACCCTTTGTTTCCTATCTTTTAACCAGTTATCTGTCCATGAGAGGACCTTCACTCTTATCCCATGACAACGAACTTTACTTAAGTGCCTTTGGTAAGGGACCTTGTCAAAGGCTTTCTGGAAATCTTGACCCTCAAGTATTTTCAAGTGGTCCATGGAAAAAAAAAAAAAAACATTTGAGAACCACTGTGCTCATCTTTTTTGTTTTTCATTTCACTCATATGTTTCAAAAATCAGAGATACATCAAAATGGGATGGAGAAAAGAAACAGTTGTGCACGTAGGGAATTATATTTCTTATTGGGAGAATGGGGAAAAGAGACCCAAATGCATTATCAAGAGCTGTGGGGATAGTTCAGAATGTAATGAGAACCAGAAGAAAATTGCTTCTGATTATAATATAGGAAATAAGCAACATGATCTCAAAGTTATTTATATCTAACATGACTGAGCAAGAACTGAAATTTGATGAGAGGATTCTCAGAATGTTAATATAGGTAAAGTCCAGATGTATCCAAACATTAAGATCTTTGCATTATAAGTCAGCGTAATTGCCTGAAGCCATAAGGGCAGAGTAAAAAACTATAAATAAGTGAGTTACAATTGAGAAAAAACATCAAGATAAGTGAATAATGATAAAAACAACTAGAACAGTGAGGGGCAACCTAGGCTAGTGAATGAGCCGCATTAGTGGCCCTCCTTTATTTCAGTGGGCTGCAAGACTTATAACTAAGACAGTCTCCCAAGAGAGGATAGTTTTGCTAACTGTGCTTGCATACACAGAATTTGCAGTGTGTGCCAATGAACTGTAGCAGTGCTTTAATTGTATGCAGAGGGAGCACAGGGCTCTCTCAATATTGTGTGCAAACAGCACGCACCTCACTTCTTGTGCTCTTGCTTTAAGTGTGTGTCACTTTTGTAATACTGGTAGGAAAAAACCTATGCAGACAAGTACCAGAAGAATCTGGTAACCTGCATGTGGGCAATGTTAAACCAAATATCTTGTGGGCCACATAGAACCCCAATGGACTACCTGTGGCTCTCAGGCTGCAGATTGTCCACCACTGTACTAGAAGAAAAAGCTGATAGTACCACTGGTTTGTCTAGTGCTACAACAGAATAAAATCTGGGACCAAAATATGAAGGAATCAAAGCTCTAGGATACCGTATTCCTGAAGGATTCTGACAGCTCAGACAGCTGTTGAACGATTGTTTACAGTTAAGCATGAATCATCTAGAGAGGTCTATATTACGTGGAACACAGGCTCAAGAACCAGAAAATGGAGAATTCAGAGCACTACTGTGAATCTGCTTTTCCCAACCAGAAAGAAACAACTGAGAACTTAGCAGTTAGTAATCACTACCATAAAATGAAAGCCCACCACTAAAAGAAAGATTTGCAGACTATACACAGAAAATAAAATTAGAGGTAGAAACCATTAGGAAGATCTCATTAATACAGACATTAATTTTAAAAAGTGGTTAAGAAAGTAATTGGAAAAAACTGAAGGAAAAAAACCTGATAACCTGACTCCATCAGAGCAATTATTTGTGAAGTCAAAGAAATAGGAACATTCCAGAGGAATGACAAAAAGCAAGCAAGACTGGGGTTTTTGTTATGGATGCGGCTAGTGTGTTAAGACCGACAATGCCTTATGATCAGCAAGTTAAACTACAATCACTAATATAAATGGAACCAAAAATGAGACAAGAAACTGCTAACACCTGAAGAACAATGAAGTCAACAAAGATGCAATAAACTGCATGTGGCTTATAGAAGAAAAATTGCACCCCATTTTTTTTCTGTAAATAAGGAAACAAAGTTCAAATGAGGGCAGCAGGACAAAATTTCAGGAGAAAGACTTAGGGAAAACCTGAAAAAGCTCTCACTCCAGTGCACAAATGAAATTAAGTTATGGGATTCCCAATACAAATGATGTTGAGCCAAATGGTATATCCCCTTCCACCTTAACCCAGGAAGCATACTCCTTGGTGATAGCCTAGCTAATGTTCTGTAGGACATAATCACTGTTTTAGCATCTTCCAGCAAATCCACAGGAAGTTTCCAACCAAAATTAAGTCATACTCCTTCAGAAACCTACTCTGCACAATTGTGGGCACATACCTAGGATGTACGGCATGACAACATAATACCCAGAAGAACAGAGGCTGGAGAGACTGTTGAGAGGAACACGGATGTTCCAGCTCTGTTCAGATGCTGCTGAATGTGCAGCATTTCTTAGGATACATGTAAGAGGACCATGTGCCTGCTACCACTTCAGGCTCATTCACTTGTCCTCCTACCCATCCAAGGTTTCCATCATAAAAATGTTACAGATGTCAGCTCTAGTTATCATATGCTGAAAGCAGGGCCGGCCCACAACATTCTGGCACCTGAGGCGGGGAGCTCAAATGATGCCCCCATACCTCCTCGCTTGGGCCAAAACTTTGAAAGGTTTCAATTCTGCCTTCTTCCCGTTCTACTCTTCTCATGGTACTGCAGACAGAATACATATGCACCAGCAGCAGACACAATCTTCTACATTCTGGGTCCTAGTGGAGCCCCCCCCACAATCTGGCACCTGAGGCCTCAGTTTGCCTCATGGTAAGGCCGGCCCTGTCTGAAAGGAGAATAATAAAACTGCTATTAGAGCAGCCTGACAATCTCAAAATGTCCATTAAGATTCACCAAAATTTTAATACTTACATAATCTCAAATCCACGGGGGACCATTTCTTTTTATGTTTCCCCTCAGACTTCCAGGTCTCCACATGGAATGCTGTAAAACGAGAGGACTACTCAGAAATCATTACACTGTAAAAATAGACCGCAATAGCTATAACACGCACCTTTAAAAATACAACCAATCACCACCATATGAGAAAACATTTTGTTTTTACAATTTTTTATACAACTGAAATCTATTTGTTGTAACAGTAACAGAGATTAGAGTAATATTAACCAGCATTAACTCAATTTCAGAGATAATTAGTATCAGACTATTACAATATTACTTTGTACCCAGAATTTAATTCAGGTATCAGATATAGCATTATTTTATCTCAATCAAAGTTTCAATGTACAGCTATTTCAGCAAGCTGGGCTTTTATCACTTTTAGCGAGGTGCTTCATTTCTTGCATTCAAGACAAGTTAGAGTGCGAGTGCATAATCTACTATATGCACTAGGGATGTTAAAAAGCAGGTAATTAGGTAACCATGTAACTGCAGCACAAATGGAAGGAGGCACCAGATGCTCCGAGTCCAAGACCACAGGTATGTACTTGATGTGGTTAGCCTTTCCCACTGCCATGGTTATACCGCAATTGTCAGCACTTTAGTCCTGATCAGGCTTGTGCTGGTATGTCTTCCTAGGTTGGATTTTACACCTTCCAACTGTTTACCAGGAAAGATGGTTTTCTTAAGTCCCAGCACTGCACATTCAACCCCATATCTGAGTATCAGGCCAGGTTCTCTCTGGCTTATGCAAAAGAAGTTCTGAATGAAGAACCTACTCAACAACTGTGTTCATGCACAAGCTAAGAAAGAATTTCAGCTCTCTCTTCTGGAGCTGCCTTGGCACTGCAGCACAGAGTAGTAAGAAAGCACATAAGGCCTTGCACATTTTGGGAGCAGAATCACTTGATTGAGAGGTGCCACTTTTTGCTCACTGTTCAGATGAGAACAGCATGTTGAGAAGCAAGTTGGAGTCTTGCTCATACCATAGAGCTTTCCCAATGGAAAGAAGCAGGGAGTGAATGGGGAATGACCATCCATGTTTTCTTCTACTGCTTTTTGACCCCCATATCCAAGTTGCTCCAAGTATACCAAAAAGAGAACCAGTTTAGGGCAGAGCAGCTTCAAAATACAGTGTGAGTTCAAGATCTGTAGCGCCCCTGTGGATATGAAATTTGTATTTCCATCCACATCTGTATCCTAAAAAATGAGCTGTGAATATCCACATCTGCTAATGTGGGTACCCGTGGATATAAAACGGCTATCTGTAAATATGCAGGGTATAAAGATCTGGGAGCATCTAAAAAAAAACAAAAAAAATCGTCTCTGCAGCTACCAGGTGGTTTTTTACTCATTCAACATAGAAAAAAAAAATCAGTTCATTTCTGCAGTGCTTTTACCCATCCTCTGAGGAATATAGCACAGAGAGCAACATTTTAACAGATTTTATATATTCCATATTTATGACAAACAAGGCTTTCCACAATTTCATGGAAAAAGATGCTTTTTCCAATGAAGAGCTACACAGTTCAATACTTATCTGAAAATATCATGCATCTGGACTAACAAATTTATGTCTCCAGATAACTACAGTACAAAATGCAAACAATGAATTCAGTTCTGGAAAGACCAAAGACTGATGTAGTTCAGACCTAGCTAAGGAAAGCCAAACATTTTCCAGGATAGTGTGAAGTAGTTTCCACCTTGGCTGACCTATGGATACATACTATGTAGTGCCAGGTGCCAGCAAGTTTAACATCTGTTAAAACAGTCAGCTCCAACCTTTCCCTAGTTATTTTTGACTCAGTTGTGTTGTGCATTGCTCTGTTCAGACTGTACCATTAATATCAATCTCTATTTAGCTACAAACAGCAAGGAATAGGTTTCAGAGCTCCTCAAAGCTGGTATTTTTTTTAAACAGAAGTTCTTACCACTGGTTTGATTAACTTGCAAGGTTAGACTTACCTCACCTCACAATGTTTATGAATCCAAATAAAGAATTAGCTTGAGCTAGCAGAATAGTGATAGAAATGTAGCCGTGTTAGTCTGGGGTAGTTGAAGCAAAATGCAGGACAATGTAGCACTTTAAAAACTAACAAGATGGTTTATTAGATGATGAGCTTTCGTGGGCCAGACCCACTTCCTCAGATCAAATAGTGGAAGAAAGTAGTCACAACCATATATACCAAAGGATACAGTGGGTCTGGCCCACGAAAGCTCATCATCTAATAAACCATCTTGTTAGTCTTTAAAGTGCTACATTGTCCTGCATTTTGCTTGAGCTAGCAGTTAGGGAAGGGTGAGCAATAAAACAGCAGTGGTTCACCAGGGTTAGCCCGCAATGGGCCATATTTATTGTGCTTCCATGGGTAAGGGTGATTGCACCTCCCACTGGCTGGGAACAGAGATCCATGGCCAACGGGAGCTCGATCCCCTGTACCTACAGAGATGCAGGTAAATATGGCACTGTGGGGGCCTGCCATGGGCTAACTCTGGCAGAGTAGATCTGCGGGCCAGTATATGCCCACCCCGAGTTAGGAAAGCCAACCTAGTTAAGTATACGTTTAAAGTAGGAGTGGGGGCCATTGACCCACAGAAAAATCAGCTGGGTGCTGCACACAAGTGAGAAGCAAAACCAAAAAACAACCCTCACTGACTTGGCCCCCAGCTGAGAAGGAGAAAAAACACCTCACGCACCAGAGCCTAGGTGGGCCCAGGTTAGTAGACTGTGTATGATCCAGCTCAATGGAGGGACAGTAGGAGGTTGGAGCACCAGCACGGACTTCCCCATGCCCCAAGCCTCAGGGGCTGGATCCAGGCAAGCTGGGGACCACACACCTTAGGTTCCCTACCCCGGGTTTAAACATTCTCCAGAGGACAAGAGTTGCTACATATATAGTAGCTTCAGGGGGTAGCCGAGTTAGTCTGTACAAGATAAACTTAAAAAACAACAAATGGTCTGGTAACACTTTATAGACTAACAAACCATATAGATGGTATCATGAGCTTTCGTAGGCATAGCCCACTTCTTCAGATGACCAGAGTTTATATATATCTTATATATGAACTTTATGTTTGTGTGTGTATGCCGGAGTCATATATAATGACATGCTTTTCCTCCAACCCCATTATTTTGACCTTGCATGAAAATCGATTAGTTTCTAAAAGGTAAGTGATATCAAGTTTTTGTAGTGAGGGCCAAAGTAAATTTCAATTAAACCCCTGGGTTAAGGCTACAAAGTTCTTGTGATCACGTGTTATCATTAGTCCATATCATCTTCCTCCCTGATGTCAACTGAAATTTTACATCAAGGCAGTTTAGAAGATGGCCCTTAATTTTTTAGTTGTTTAATCTGTGGGGGATAGAAAGATTATGCAAGACCACCACCACATCTTCCCTTAGTTATCCTCCCCTTCCTCTGGATATCATGCACTGGCATCCCCTTCTAGCTACCTATACTTCCCCATTTTGATGCTTTGGCACTTTTGATCTCTGCAAGAAAGGCGTCATTTTAATAGGGAAAGTCTGCAAAGGCAGAATAACTAGTGTTCTAGTCACTTTCCATCCAGGTGTACAAGCTTCTGCAGTTGAGAAGGAACAAGTTACCTTTGCACCGGTGGGAGGGGGGGACACAGCTACAGAGGGGAAAAAAACAACAACAACATGATCATGCTCTTTTTCCCTTTTCAGCAGGCTTTATATACAAGCTAGAGACAGATAGAAATGGACTTGGGCTACATTTCCACTTGGAAGGCTTTGACAGTTCAGGAAAACCAGCAAAGCACTCCTACCACAGACAAATCTTACTTGCAAAAGTGCATTTTTTTCAGCATATGTTATTCCAATCTTCCTCTTTCCTCTCACCAAGCAAAATAAGCTAAACTGGCAGCATAACTGCATCTGCTTTAGGGGAATCACACATCTTTACATCCCTGCCTGACATAGCTATACCTAAAACAGTTTGTTGTGCACAACTGGCCTCAGTCCAGTTCATTGCAGAAGTGGACCTGTGTGGAATATTTCACAAGGAAGCCTGGAAACAGGAAAGGTTTTCCAGGTTTTATGGTAATTAAGGTGCTTTAAGCAGGTGTGCTGAAAGGTTCTTGAACCTCAGTGAATTTGAGCCGGGTTACAAATATGAGCAAAACCACTGAAATTCTGGTTTTACATAGATTTGAACCAAACAAAATAAAGCAAATTTCCAGTGTAGGATAATTTTGTATAGACTTTTGGGTCCAAACCTAGAGGATGTGAACCCAGATGAATCAAAACAGGAAAAAAGTTCACAACAAACTTGTGCAACCAGAAGCAGTTTATTTTGAGGTGCAGGATTAATGCACACTCCCCCTGCACAGAAGCTCTTCACATGAAGCCTATTAAAATAGAAAAGTGAGTAGGCTCACACAAACTGTCTTAGCAGCCACCTCTGTTTGGCAAGGACTGAGTACAATTATGGCTGCTGCTGCTTGTGGGCAAAATTATAGTACAGGCAGTCCCCGAGTTACGTTGGATCCGTACTTACGAACAGGGCTTTTCTCACCCCGGAGGACGCGGGCGGCAGGACTGCCCAGATGCGCCGCGGTCCCGCTGCCCGTGTCCTCCGGGGTGAGAAAAGCTGCTCCGCGTCTCCCTGGTCTGCTGGGTTGACTGTTTTTATTCATTTTTTATATTTTCTGTATTACCTTGTTCTGGCCAGAACCCGGAAATAATATATGAAAATATGAAGTGTTGTTCTTGTAGTGTAAAACCCAACTAGTGCTACAAAATGCTGTGTGTGCAGAAGGGTGGGGGAAGTGTTCATGAGACTTTGAGACAAGCGATCCAGATATTTTGAGATGAACATCTCTAATGGAATCAATCCTCCAAACTTTGAATTTCACCCATTGCTAGTGATTGCATGGCCAGATAACTTATCCTGTTCATTTAAAGTACACCTAGCGCCAATCAAAATCTATCTTTTTGGTTGATATGAAATATGTTCTAGTGCTTTACAATCTGACCCCTGATTCCAATCTCATAGAAATAGTGAGTCCACCTATTTATT